TGTTTCAAATTTTTGAAAAATATCTTTTCTAGTCTCACCTTTAACATTTTGAATAGCTGATTTAATTTCTTTTATTAAGGCTATGCTTTCTACCAAGGACAACTTTGATGATTCTAATTGAATAATAGTTTTTTAAAGAAAACTAAAATATGATTTAATAAATGAAAGTTGCTGCTGAAGAACGTTGTTTTTAAAAATTTGTTTAGCATCTAGCAGAGACTGGGAACTTTCATCCGTTAAAGCGTGAATTATATTTTTTAAATCTACGAAATAGTCTAAATAGAGAAAAGCTGCTTCCAACCATGTACCCCATCGTGTTAGAACGGATTCTGGTGGAAGTGGAATATTTGGAAGAATTTCTTTATAAAGTTAAATTCTTATCAGATATTTGAGGAATACTTTTTTATGCTTGATATCAGGGAGTTTACAAACGGAAACTTTGTTCTAATTTCTTCCGCAACTCTGTTCATTCCATGTGTTAAACAAGTAACTCCTGCCTTGACCATATATGGTGCAGCATCGGAAAAAATAAATAATTTATGGCTAGGAACACCTGCATCATTATCATCATCATCATTCCTCAACCTCTTACATCCACTGTTGGATATAGGTCTCCTCCATGTTCTTCCACTGTTCTCTATCTTGCGCCTTCTGTATCCAATTTCCGACTGTTTTTCTCAAGTCGTCCATCCATCTTTTTAGTGGTCTGCCTCGGTGTCTTTTTGTCTTCTCTAGGTCTCCATTCTATGAGTCTTTTGGTCCACCTATTATCATTTAAACGTGCTATATGTCCAGGCCCATCTCCATTTGGCTTGTGCAATTTTTTCTATGACATCTGTCACTTTGGTCCTCTCTCTCACTATCCTATTTGGTACCATATCTCTTCTAGTTATTCCCAACAATGCTCTTTCCATTTTTCTTTTGGTTACTCTTAATTTATTTGTAGAATGTTTGGTTAAAGTTATTGTTTTGGAACCATATGTTATTACTGGCAGTATGCATTGGTTGTAAACCTTTTTCTTCAAGCAAAACGGTAGCGTTCCTTTTAGAATATCTCGCATCTTGCCAAATGCTGCCCATCCCAAGCCTATGCGACGCTGGATCTCCAAGTTTGATTGTCTTTTCGTATTCTAATTTCATGCCCTAAATAGATATAGCTAAAGACCTGATGTACTTCGTTCCCATCTACCCTCATAACATCACTTGGAAACTAAATTGGTCATGTATTTTGTTTTTTCAAAGTTTATGTTCGGGCCTATTTGTTCTATTGCCTGTTTTAGTTCTTCCATCATTTTGTGAGCTTCATTTAAACTCTCGGCTATAATGACAATATCATCTGCAAAGCGCAAGTGGCTTAAGTATTCACCATCAATATTTATTCCCCTTGTAGCCCAATATAGTTTTTTAAAGGCGTATTTTAGAGCTGCAGTGAATAGTTGGGGGGAGATGGTGTCGCCCTGTCTAATTCCTCGCTCAATTCTATATTTATCGGTAAAGTCATGGAGTTTTAACAGATGCTGTTGCGTTGTTGTATATATGTTTTATCAAATTTGTATATCCATAGTCTACTCGGCTTTGTTCTAATGCTCCTAATACTGACCGGTAATTCCACGGTATCAAAAGCTTTCTTGAAGTCTTTGAAAATCACGTGAGTGGTTTATTATATTCAACACATTTTTCAATTAGTATTTTAAGCGCTTGTAGGTGTTCATTTGTTCCATAACCTTTCCTAAACCCAGCTTGCTCCTTAGACTGATAGAAATCTAATTTTCGTTCTAAACGTTTTGTGATGATCTTGGTAAACCATTTGTAGAGATGTGACAACAGACTTATCGGTCTATAATTCTCTAGGTCTGATATATCTCCTTTTTTGTGTATTAGGATAGTAATTGCATTGTTCCATTTTGTAGGGACAATACCTTGGTTTAGACATAGGTTGAATAGTTCAGTTACTACTTCCAGCAGTTTCTTGCCTCCTACTTTAACAGCTTCTATTAATATATAATATAATAACTACAATGAGAACCGGTTCATCGATAATGTTAAAGTAAAGGCATCCATAGAAGAAATTTCGTTTAAGTAACTGCACGATTATTGCATGGCAGTTACTGATATTTTAGAAATAGTTAAAATATTTATTTTATGATTAAATATACATAAATAGGTATTAATATTATAAAGTAAAATTTAATTATTTGATTTCCGTTTTATTAAGTTTAAAAGTTTTTCTTCTTTCTCTGGAACCTGTCTATTCTACACAGGTGGTACTGCATTTTCTACATTATTTCTTTCGAGATGTATCCTAGCTATTTGGACTCCTTTCTAAGCTTCTTACAACACAAAATATCTTTCAAAACAATTTGTTTTACCTTTATTAATGTTATGGTACCAATTTATAGTGGAGATTCGTGAAATGGCTATAACGTAATACAAATTAAGATTTATTTTATTTATTTTTATTTTTGATCTGTTTTGTCTTCTTATGATCAGTGCTCCATCTCATATGAGGTCTTTTGCTCCCTCTTTTGTATTCCCATCTTCGTCAAGATATTATCTGCTTATTCCTTATCTGATAATTTTGTAGAATGGTATTGTCTGCTTTAAGTTGTACCACTTGGTGTCAAGGACCAAACTTACTACTGGCATTTGCAGACGATATCGATCTAATAGGAAACACACGATTAAGGATGAAGGAGACTTTCGTGAGGTTCGAGAAGGAAGCAGAGAAGATGGGGCTGCAAATCAACGAAAACAAGACGAAATATGTATATGAACCGCAATAACCAAAGCAGAGACAGAATCGGTCAGAACATCACCATCGATGACTTTAACTTTGAGCGCGTTAGAGAATTCAAGTATCTTGGAACAACAATAACTGAAGACAATACCGGATCACAAGAAATAAACAACAGGATTCAGGCTGGCAACAGATGTCTTTTTGCCCTCCAAAACCTTCTAAAATCGAAACAACTAACACGACGTACGAAGATCATTCTCACATCATATAACGGGGGTTCTACGGCAATTTGCCGCTTCCCGCATTTCAGCATCCATCTTTTCCTATCTCTCCAATCGTACGTACGTACGTATCTTCATACGACGTACGAAGATACAGGTCTATAAAACAATCATACGACCCGTTGTGATGTATGGAAGCGAAACCTAGACGATAACAAAAGCAAACGAATAGAGACTATGTGTTTGGGAAAGAAAAATCCTAAGGAAGATCTTTGGTCCTGTGATGGATGAAGCATCAGGACAATATAAGGATAAGCACTAACAAAGAGCTCGACGAACTTTACCCAGACGCCAACATCATAAAAGAAATCAAGTCCAGAAGACTACAATGGGCAGGACACCTCAGAAGACATTCTGACGAACGAACAGTAAGACTGGTGTGGAAGGAAGTACCAACTGGAAGGAGACCTAAGCACTATGGGCGTGGAGAATTGGATGGAGGTTGCTCAAGACAGAAAACAGTGGAGGCATGTTGTCGAGTCGGCTAAAACCCATGAAGGGTTGTAACGCCACGGAGTAAAAGTAGAAAAGCAAAAAACTTGGTGTGAAATTTTTACGATTTTGATGATCTTTAAGTTGGTGAGGAATGTTTGTTTTTGTTTGGCATTCTTTATTGGTTTATGCATTATTTTTCTTTTTATTGCCTTGAACTTAAATGCAAACATAAATCAGAACTACCAAAAAATAATAATCAAAGTCCTACATTATAACTATGCCCTAAAATTTTCTTCACAATATTTATCGGATTTTTTAATTAAGAAATTTATTTAAATACTAACTAGTTATCATAAAATTATAACTCAGTACTTAACTAAACTATGCTATCGAAGTATTTGGAGTTGTCCATTCTGCTATACCAGACGCAAATTTCTCTCAGTTTGTCGTAAATTGGCCGTCCTAATTGTTTTTCATTTTGGACTTTCCTGGACACTAAAGCCCAAAATCCTCTATTGGGCCTGCTGCACGTTTGGAGGATTGTCGTTTTTGGGAATAAAAGTTATGTGGTGTTGTCGAAGCCAATTTTGGGTATCTCTTGAATAATGGCATGATGCTTGGTGCAGCCAAAATATGATGTTTGTGGACAAACTGAAGCAGTTTGAAAAGACAGTTACCAATATAACTATGACTATTCAAAACTTTACCCTCACTCTTCCCACATACGGTCGGAATGCACCCCTGTCATAAATTGAGCACCGGACAAGGATTTTATCTATAATTTCGCTTTATGTTTCATCTAACATTGTCAAGACATTCTTCTACGTTGTTCGTATAAAATCCATCGTTTCCCTTCATTTCAGAATTGCTCAAAGTTTATTATCTAAAATAATAATTTCTTCATTGGCAAAGTGTGTTCCACCTCAGTTGACGACAGCAGCTTGGTATACGAAGGAATTGCGCTTGAGATTATTTGGGGCACTTACTTACAAAACTATTCCTCTTCAATAACAACGATATAATACTCTTAGTAGTCAGTCTCCTCGTTGGCATTACAACCCGTTTTTTGCTCTTCTCGCCAATCTCTTTGACCTCTATGCAATAAAGGCACGTGGTTTTCCACTTATTGGGTGATTCAAACATGGCATTTCCTGTTCGCACTCCGCTATTATTCTATAAATGGTCCTGTGTAAAATGTGTTCATTCTGGAATATCGACAGATTTCAGCTTCCAATACCCAATACAAAAACAACTCGGAACTACTTTTTCTTATCTCTAAATTATACAACATCTTAAGCGACACCTTCAAAATAAATAAATCTCAACTAACAATAAACAAACTTTTATTTCCAAAGGCAACTTGATATTATTTTGTTTTTGTTACTATTAAAGCCGATGAATTTCGTTGCAAAACTATTAAGATATACGTTATTAACAACTATATGGGTGATTCAAAGATTGAGAGTTGTATATTTTAAAATAAATTGTTCATTTCTTTTCGTGATGAACTTAAAAAGTTCACTAACTGATTCTTTTACTTTTTGTAGGAGAGTATGTAATAAAAGAAGAAACCAGTCCGCTTCAACGAGAGTCTTCAGAGCCAGTCAATCTTAACCTTGATGATCTTACTCTCCCATTGCCGGAATTCTTTCTTGACGAAGCTTTGCGTCTGATCGACTTGGAAGATGAAACGTCACAGGTACGTTTAGTCAGTTATTATTACTATTATTGATGTGGTAATTTGTGATGGTTTCTATAGAGACAATGTAAGAGATAAAAAGCCCAAAGTTATGTAAGAGATCAATTATACTCATGCGATAGAAGATATGAATATTTAATCAGCAGAATAGTACCTAAAAAATAGTATATCTAAAAAAATTGCGCCACCAAGTGAAGGAAATCGTACTGGTGAAAAAAAACAAAAGTAGGAAAAAGGAAATATACCAAAGAACAAATAACTAAATTAGGATATTAGAAAAGAAGAAGCAGTATATCTCTGTACTAAAATAAATATGTTAAGATATATTTTTTGATATTGTAAGTTATGGTTATATATTTATTTCAGGAAAATAGAGTAAGCCTCAAGGAGCTGGAAAGTCTCCCCACCGAGGCCAGTAATAAATCTGTGCCAGTTGCAACGTCGACAGTTGCAGCTAACTCTGATGAGCTCACATCTTCCCCAGAGGAAGCCCTTCCTAAAGACCCTGAAGACGAGTTCGGTTTCCTGTCAGACATGATCCAAACACCACAATTTCACCATCCCCACCACAGGGCTCCATTCCAGGTGAGTGTTAGTTTTATTTTAAAAGTTGCTTTTCCATCTTAAAGTTAATCACTATACTGTATAGGAAACAAATAAGATCGCTATGCACTTACGACGGTAGGACCTGAGCAAAACATATTTTACAGATTTTTATTAGAAGGAGGAATCGAAGAGGAGAGGCTAATATTGTTAACAAACAAAAAAAAATTTAAAAAGTGCTAATACAATCAAATTTGGGCGAATTGATTTAAATGTACACGGGACAACCAAATGAATTTAACTAAAGAATATACTCAGTTAAGGTTAAAATTCGTGAAAAATTACGTCTTTTAATAAAAAATACGACGTTATTTGGTATTTTCCAAATAATATATTTGAAACCATTTTTTTTGGGCTAATAATTTTAACCAAATAAAATTCTTTGTGTCTTGTGACAAAGAGAAACCAAATATATTATACAACGCCTTTCTCATGGCGTTGAGTTCATTTGCTGATATGTTTTGGCTAAATTCGACTATCCTTTGTATCAGTTGCTCCAATTTGGTGGCTCTCTCGAATTCATGTGTGTACAAATTAATATTAGCATCCCCAAAAAAAAAATCTAGGTGACTTAAGTCCGGTGACCGAGGAAGCCATTTATTTGTACCTTATGTACTAATCACGCGTTCAGGAAAAATTAAATCTAATTAGTCTCTGACGCTTTATGCATTATGTGAAGAATAATAGTCTTGTTGAAATCAAACTTCTTTTGAGTTGATTTGATGTTGAAGTGCAAGAATAATTTGATTTCTTAGTAATTCTAGATATTTTACTACATTTAAATTTCCATTTATGAAAAAAGTATCATAGGCCAATTAAGCTAAATTTTTAACCGACAGGGCTATATAGACGGGTTTGACAGTTGAAATGTATAGTATTATATACTACAAAAAGACTCTCATCTAGGGATTCGTCATTTTTTTAGTCAAGCGCCGTTTTTTTTTTTAATTTAATGAGTGACTATAGATGGCAACGGATTGGATCTTCCGTTGCATGCGATGGGCAAAATCACTAGTATCTTCTAAACAAATTAAATTTCGCAAAAACTACTTAATCAATCAGACCCAATCTTTTACACACTATTCAAACACAGGAAGACTCTTAAGTTTAGGTACATTTAAACACATTTTAATAAATAATAAAAAAGTTATTAACAATATTCAAAAACAGCGATTTTGTTGTTCATTTTTCTATAACTTGTTTGTTTATTAACCGATTTTAATTTAGCATATCTCATTTGTGTATCTTTTTTCTGAAAAAGTTGTCTGTTGATGTCAAATCTCTAAATAGACAAGTTATAAGCAAAATAATGAGTTTGACGTTTTGATTGTTTATTTAAAAATAATTCCACTAAAAAATTGATAAATCCCTAGATTTCAACTGTTTAAACCCGTCTACAAAGTAGTGACGAAAAAGGTTTATTTTCCAATTCAAACATTCGACTTTTGTGTATACTATATACGCACAGAACCACTCAAATGCTTATTTTCCTGAAACCAATAACTTATAACGGATGGATTATGTTTCCTAGGAATTTGTCCATCATAATTTCACAGAATTCAAAGTTTAAAATGATAATAAAAAAATGATAAAAAAATCTATATATTTAGTTTTGCCCAATTTTTGGCGAAGGTTGTCGACATAAAATAAGAATTTATAAAGAGATGAATGACTGTTAACCATATTAGTTTCTTTTGTACGCCTTCAAAAGATTTGTGTTTGTATTTGTATGAGTAACATTAACCTGTCTCATAGATGTTGTCATTCTTATTCACTTGTCCGCTTGAATACTAATCAATGACAAATCAAGTTTTAGAAATTAGAGTCACAAAGATTCGAATAAGGGTCTTAAATAATAATCCTCCTATTCTGTGACTTAATCTTTTTATCTTTTACGGTGTCATAGCACTTAGGCATTGAATTTAATTTCCGTGATACCTGTTAATGGTATTGTTTACTGCTGTCGATTGCAGATTAACATACAGTTTATAAGAATAAAAGAATAACAAATATAAAAAATCATTAAAGAAAATGTTTTCAATATTGTTTATTTATACATATTTGTTTTGTATTACTTTCTAATACAGTCTCTTGGGCACAATAAAGAGGTGCGAAAATTGTATTAACAAAAAACTTTTGATGCATCAACCAGACTAAAACCATATTTTCAGATACAGTGCGTTAAGTTTAGGTATAGCCGATTTTAATAGTAGGAAATTCGATAAAAATGCACTGACCTAATCGGTGTGTTGTTATCGATTTTTATTAATGTGAAAATTTTTTTGTGGTTGAATTAAAAATAAAAGCGTATTTCTTTAAAAAGATAAAATAAAAAATATACTCTTATTGAGAATTAAAATATTATTCCTAATAAAATAAAAAATAATTCTTTATGACCTACAGAAATTGTTCAAATAGTTGACTTTTTACGACTGAACACTACCCCAATCTGTCATAAAAACTTCTGCAAACAGATGAAAGAGTTTCTGCTGTAACAGAATTGGAGACTTCTCTTATTCGATTTTTTAATTCATCCAAATTTTGGGCTCTATATCGCCTGTTCCACTGATAACTCGATTCGGGAAAGTATTGTTTAAATACTCCCTAATAATTCGAGCGTTGTGAACTGAACAGCCGTCTTGATGAAACCAAACATTCTCCAGATTTACATCAGGAAGATTGAGAATAGCGGGAAGAACATGATTCTGTAACAAATCGAGGTATACTCTACTATTCAAGTTGCTCTCAATAAAAAATGGACCTATTATGTGGTCTCCTAAAATGCCAGTCCAGACGTTAACTTTTTGAGGACGTTGAGTTCGGTAAACAACACTTCTGTGCTGGTTTTCCCGCGCCCAATACCTCGTAATGGAAGCATTGTGTCTCCCTACTAACGAAACAGAAGATTCATCAGTGAATAAAATGTTTTTAATAAAAATTTGGTTCACTATTAGCCTTCGTTATTAGAGTTTCATCAAAACTCCATTCTTCGAAAGTAATCGTCTGGATAAAGCTGCTGCGTTTTCGAATATTTAAAATTCTTGTAACCGTCCTTTTTTCCATACTTTCGTTACAGTAACATTGCTAACATCTAACTCTCTAGCAACGCTTCTACTTGAACGTGTTGAATCTACCTCGATTGTTGCACAAATTTGTGTATCTCGGTATTCTCTTTCCTCAACTTTTTCTGGTAACACTTCTTGAGCGTGACATTTTCTGCAATTTTTGAGGCAATAACAACTCTCAAAATTTTTAACAATATTATAAATTGACTGTACACAAGGAATTTGTCTTCCCTCAAAAAACACAGAAAATAAATCTACACACTGTTGCGCAGAATTGCCAGTATAAAACCATTTTATTATTTGAGCTTTTTCCGCGGCCATATAAACAGACATGTTTACAAAAATAAATTAAAACTCTACGCTGATATACCTTTAAACAACCACGGTATAATGACAATATGACAAATTTGCCGACGGGCGACGAGCAACGACGAGTCAACGAAGCAGATATGTAGTGGCAAGTCGACGACGCGCAGTGTTGCCATTTATAGAGTGTATACCTAATCCAAAACTTAACGCACTGTATGACGAATTCCACAGAAAATATCCACTAATATCCCACACTATATTCCACAAAATATTGATTTTGAAATTTGAGAGCACACTCTTGGGACCATTTTTTTCTTTATACAAAATTTTTAGTACTCAAAACTAAAGAAAAAATAGTGCCACTACCCAGAACGAGGGTAATTGTGCCTTTTTTGCGAGATTTCAAAAATTAAATAAGCGAAACAATTGTGATTTTGGAGTGTAAAAATGTCGTTTATCTTGAAGTTTATGATAAATATTGTAAAATAGTTTTACAAAATTACTGTGATTTTAAGCTTATAAACATATAAAATAACTTCTAGTTTTAATAAAAAAAAAAAATTCAAAACAATTTCTGTAAAAATGAGTCGTTCATGATGAAGATGAAGAGTTGAAAAGAGAAGCGATTTCAAAAACTGATTTCATAACTTCAAATTTATAAAAGTCACAATATCTCTTTTATCTTCTTCTTAGAGTGCCGTTTCCCTACGGAGGTTGGCAATCATAATGGCTATTTTTATTTTATAACTTGCTGCTCTGAACAAATCAATCGATCATATATATATATATATATATATTATATATATATTATATATATATATATATATATATATATATATATACACGTATAGAGAGAGAAGAATGAAGAAAAGTAATGGAAACGGCGAAGTCACACCGAAACTGTAAAACCAAACCCAGAATGGGTTGATCTCCCACACAAAAAAGATCTTTACGTAACAACAGCTTCAGCTTCTCCGGAAGCGTACAGCTTATATATATATATATATATATATATATATATATATATATATACAAACTATACATTCTCGAAGAAGCTGAAGCTTCTTCGGGAGCGTATAGCAAGTTTTTACTTAAAGATTCTTTTTCTCATCCTATCTCAGTTTAGGTCAGCCTCTGGTTCTTTTACCTGGTGGTATCCATTCCGTGATAATTCTTAACGGATTCTCTCTTCTCAGTATGTGTCCATACCATCTAATTCTTTGCGCTTTTATTGCTCTATGTTTTCTTGGCCCACCCATTCTTGTATTTTATGATTCATCTCTTGTCTTGTATCCTCTTCAGTTTCCCTCTTTGGTGCCAGTATTTTTCTGGTAATCTTCCTCTCAAAAACTTTCAATTGCTCTTGCTGTTAATGTAAATGTTACTGCAGCATATACTACTATTGGTTTTATAGTCGTTCTGTAGATTTTCATTTTTTTAAATAATTGATGGATTAAATAAACAACGGATACAACGAACAAACAATTAATAAAATGTTAAATTAAAAACTACACAAGAAAGCCCTGAAATTAATATTTCCACCACCAGAGAGAAAACCCAGTACCTTCTGCTCGATTACATATACAGGCAAAATAACAACAAAAATAG